CTTACAGCCACTAAGTCACAGTGTGCCAAGCAGGAAGACAGGTATCTCTGTCTTGAACGTTCCACTGCTAACTCCTACTGTAAGTCAGTATAGTCTAGTATTCGGCCACTGGTGAGGTCTCTATCAGATGAGCTCCTCCCTATCAGAAACTGCTATCTTCAAGGTATGCAGTCAGCATTCCTTGAGAGACATCAGAAGTAACCCTCTGTGAGACAAGGCGATGCTGTCATGTTGCAGGATATGCAGGTTTAGACATGAGAGATTTTCTTAGCTCCATGTTTCCAGAAAATAACTATGTGGTCAACTTAATTTGCTCACATACAGTCTGTTCTCTCCTTGTTTAGTTTTTCCTCTGAGCATCTTACTAGAGGGTCTGGAATATGCATGGATGAGATGCCCTCTTTCCTGACCATACTTAATAGTAGGTACTATAGGAGCAGAGGTAAGAAATATAATTGGAGCTAAGGGATGGAGGAAGACACGTTCTTCTAAACTGGTAAGAAAAGCCAGATGTAAACAAAGAACAAGTGATAACTACTGCTACAAGATCAATGGTTACTTCCTGTACATCTAAAGTGGGTTATCCACATATTATCTGAAATGGCTTGGTCTAGTCTCCAAGTCTTCTCTGTGCCTTCCACCTACATTTACACCCCAAAATACCCTCAGGAGCCATTTCTTCCCTGTCCAGTTCCCCCTGCTACCTGGCTATTCCACCATCATTCCATGAAAAATTAATATATATGAGTCATTATAACTCTTATATTGCAGCATTTCTCTGCTCCCCTGTCACAGATAATCATAATTTTATACACATTCTTTCATAATTACCACCTCAACCAACAATTACTCTCAGACATAATGAACTATGTAGAGTCTTGAAGCTATAGCAATATTTTGCTTAAATTAGTGATGGTGCTAATATTTATTGAACACTTATTAAGGGCTGACAATATACAAAACTTTACGCACATTTCTCATTTAACCTTGACAACAACTTTTTGAAATGGTCTGTACTATTATCTCTACTGTATAGGTGAGGACTCTGGCTAGAAAAGTTAGGTGACTTACTAACAGATGGCACAGTAGGAATAATAGCTGAGGTCTAAGACTATAGCACCTATTGTCTTAACTATCACATCCACTGCTTCTAAGCATTTGTGGCAACAGATAACATAAAACACTAGTGTCTGTTTTCACTTCCTCATATCCCATTCTCTCCTTTACTGACTTCAATCAGGCTTCCCACTAAAATTGTTCTTATCAAGGTAAATGAAAACATTGTCACTCACAAAATCAATATCCAGTGCACAGTCTTCAGTTTATTCAACCTCTCCCAGCATTTGGCAGAATCAATTACAACTTCCCTGAATTAATCATTGTCTCTGTTTGGTTTCCAAGACCCCCTTGGTTTTTCTCCTACCTCACTAGTCTATCCTTCTAAGTCTCCTTTGCTAGGCCCTTCTCTGCTTTCTGATATTTTAAATTTGAGTGTCCCCAAGTTCGTCATTAGACTTCTTTTTTATACTCACTCCCAAGGCTAGTAGTCCAGTATCAAGACTCAAATGCCATCTGTAGATCAAAGGCTACCACACGTAGATCTCCAGTCTCAATCTGTGCTCTATGCTACAGACTCTTATATCCAGCTGCATACCACATCTAAGCATCGCTACTTGATTGTTTAATAATAGGCTTCTCATATTTAAAATGCTCAAAACTAAACTCTTGGTTTCCTCTCCTGAATCTGCTCTACTCCCAGTATGCATCATTTAAATAAATGGCACAATCATTGACCTAGTTGCTCTGGCCAAAAATCTGGTAGTCATTCTTGACTCTGCTTTTTAACTTACACCCATGCCTTATTCATCATCAAATCCTGTCAATTCTGTCTTCAAAATGTACCCTCAGTCTTTTTTTCATCTCCACCCTCAACTCCCTAATCTACACCACTATCATTTCTCACATGGATTTCTGCAACCACCTCTTCACTGGTTTCTTTGGTTCCATTCTTGCCTTGCTGCCACCCTTCCTCCACAAAGCAGCCAGCCATGTTTTTAAAACAAAATTCAGACACCAACACCCCTTGCTCAGCTCCCTTTAGCAGCTCCCCTTTCACTTGGAATTTGCTCCTTTCACTGCAACCAGTATTCCATCTGCTCAAGTGTCTCCTTGGAGGAAGAGATTTCTCTGACATCCTGTATAGAACAGCATCCTCTATTCCTCCATTTATCTCTCCCTCTTATTAGACTTCTAAAAAATTTATAGCACTTATCTCTGCTTAAACATTATATACTAAATATTATATATTAAATGTATATATGAAATATGGTATATTTATTTGTTAATTTCTTTATTTTTGCACCTCTCCCCAACTAGAATGTAAGCTCCATGAGGCCAGATTCCTTGTCTTTTTTGTCCTTGGTTGAATCTCCAGCACCAGAAGAGGGCTTGCCAAATAATATGTACACATTAAATGAATGTTATATGTAATACGTGTTTATTAAATGAATGTATTTGAAGTCTTATCTTCACTACTTCTTAGTCCTATATCCTTACACAAATTTCTTACTGTCCCTACATTATAAATTTCTCAATTATAAATTTTTTTAAAAAACAAACAACCCTATCTTATTTTTCTTTCTGATGCTTTATTGGTACTTTCTAATATATTCAGCCTATCCTCAATTCCAGAGGTTGGTCAATGTTATGGGTGGAAATGTGTTACCCCAAAATTCGTGTGTTGAAGTCCTTGCCCCCAGTACCTCAGAATGTGACCCTATTTGGAAATAGAATTATTGCAGATGATATTACTTAAGATGAGGTCACACTAGAATATGGTGGGACACTACTTCAATCTAGTTCAATATGGCTGATGTCTTCATAAAAAGGAAATTTGAGCACAGAGGTGCACACAGGGAGAATGTCTTGTGGAGATGGGAGTTATGCTGCCACAAACCAAGAAACTACCAGAAGGCAGAGAAGAGTCCTAGACCAGATATTTCCCTAGTGCCTTCGCAGGAAGAATGGCCAAAACAACACCTTGATTTCAGACTTCTGGTCTCCAGAATGTTGAAACAATACATTTCTCTTGTTCTAAGCCACCCAGTTTATGGTACTTTGTTACAGCAGCCTTAGGAAATGAATATAAATGAATATAGTCATTCAGATATTATCCTCATTTAGTACATGAGGAAATCGCAGCTGAAAAAAGTTGAGTAACCTGCCTCAGGTTTCACAGCCAGAGACTGGTAGGGCTGAGCTTTAACCCCAGATCTGTATGGCTTCAAAGTCTATGCACAGTGGCGGTGGTTCTTAGACACTGGTCCCTGGCCCTTGTTGGTCCAGAGCAGAATGAGAAAAGTAAGTAGGATGCAGTGAGTTTTCATCGAGCTAAAATGGCCTTCTTTTATTACAGAATTATTGCCTTCCTGCTATTTATTTTTTCTTCCTATTGTTTTGGTATTGTTCTTTTTACTTCTGAAACAATGGTGAGAATAAATAGTAGTTGGATTTTTTTTTCCATAAATTTTTGTTTTGTTTTTTAATGTCTTGCATTTTATTGACAACATAAAAAGTTGGCAATTCTGTGGCCTATAGAAGTTTGTTCTGAAATGTTTCTGGTTTATGAAACATAAAAGTCTGAAAACAAATGTTCCAATGCTGTCCCCTTTATGAAACAAGTCCTCAGCCTGGGCAACACTGTGAGGCCTCATCTATACTAAAACAAACAAACAAACAGGAAATACCAGCTGGTCATGATGGCATACATCTGAAGTCCCAGCTACTCAGCAGGTTGAGGGAAGAGGATCACTTGACCCTAGGAGAGCCAGACTGACACTGCAGCGAGGTATGATCACGTCGCTGCACTTGTATTGCCTGGATGACAGAGCAAGGCCCTGTCTCAAAAAAAAAAAAAGGAAGCTCTTCACAAACAGTGACACACTTGGTAGAGAGAAGAAGCTTTGCTCTCAATCAATTGTAGAGGTCCCTGCTCATAAACAAAGTGTCCGTGTTAATGGTCACAATCTCAATTAATTACCATGAAATTAATCTGATATAATGTCATGCAACGAATTTGTTTGAATTTAACAATATTCATTAATTCAGAAATTTCCTTAGTGTTGTCCCCTTCCTTTTTAGGATAGATTTCCTAGTTTTCAGTAAAATTCTCAAGTTGCTTTTGACTTGATCCATTTTCTTTTGGGTTCAGGATTTGTGGGCTTATACAAATGTCTGAGGATTAAATAAGATCACTTCTGTTAAGTATCTAGAACACCATAAAAGCTTTCAGTAAATGCTAGTTCCCTTCAAAGAAAGAAGTAGATTTATGCATCCAGAAGGGAAACGACTTTAGGACTAAAGGAGATTTACAGCAACTGGATGACTCTGCAAGATGGGCCAGTCTGGAGAGGGTTAATAAACTTCACCCTCTTGTTGAACATTCAGTGATCCATGACAGTTTATAGAAATTGTGGCAGTCTATTTTTATGAATTCATGTTCAAGAGTATGTGTGCATACATATAAACATAAGTATATATAGAAATTAATATATATTGATGTCATATACATCATTAATATAAATTTGAGTGGTATGAGTGTGTGTACCTTCTTCAATTTCTGAGAAAACTCAGAAGGAAAAAGCATTCATACATATAAGAGTTTGCCTTCTTTGTTTATCCATTATCTGATCCCCTATAATCTAATTTGGGGACTACCAATTAGTCCTATCCTGAGAAACCTTAGTTAAGACCATTTCAATCTATCCCTTTGCCAAAGTTATCTCAGACTTCAAATCAGTAAAGAAGAGATTCCCTCAGTCTGTGAGTACATATGGAGGGCTTACGATGTCCCAGGCACTACATTATTGAATGTATGCCTACATTATATGAATGCTAGAAGAACAATGTAATCAAGGTCATATTCTCCCTCTCCTTAGGCTCTCAGTCCAGGGAGTAATAAATTTAATAGATAATAGCTAACTACACAGTTACATAGCATATATTTTTTTAAAACATTTTAATAAAATTAACAAATAAATATTCTAAACTGTATAGGCTACAGGGACAAAGTGTAGAAGCCAGAGGGCCAGTCTTTCCTGCTCAGGCCCTCAGGTCCCCTTTAGAGAGACCCTGCTTTGGCCCGGTTTGGGGCTAGGACTGCTGACTTGGGGAGGCAGGGAGTGAACCCGGAATGGGTGATCTGGGCTCTTGCAAGCTATTCCTCTTTGTTGGTGTGTGGGAGGAGAGAAGAGGCCAAAGAAAGCAAGATCCTGCAAGAGGCATCCCAGTGACCCCTAGAAGTGACTGGGGTAAGGGGAGCACTATCCTAGAAGGGAGTGGGAGGGAGTGGGCAGTGAAGCAGGGCAGTGAGCCTGGCCAGTGGTGGGCTCCGGACGCTGTTCTACCCATAGCCACTCACTCTCGGACGTAGACCCTGGTGCACACAACGTCATCCGCCCTCATGGTCAGGATCAGCTCCCTATCATTGGTCAGTTCTCTGGTCCATGAGGTCTTGGGGCCCTCTCCCTTCAGGAGCTTCTGCTCACAGAACATTTTATTCTCACTCTCCCATTTCACCAGGCTCTTACAGGGCCTCCCATCCACGGTCTGCTCCTCTAACTCCTCCCCAACCTTGAAGTTAATCTCTGTGGTGCGCACGGTGGTGGAGGTTTTGATGTAGAAAGTGTCTCCCTCCTGTTTGATCTCCACTACTGGCTTGGACGCTGCAGCCACAGCAATCTTCCTCAGCATCACATTCACCCCCAGCACTCTGAGCAAATCCTCGAAGTTTTCTGATCGAATGATTTTCCAATTGCCAGAGAAGTTGGGCATGGTGGCAGCGTGGGTGGCGGTCCCCTTAGACCTCTAGGCTGGAGCACTGGACACTGTCTTTTAGTCAAGAGACATCGCCGTCGCTGGGTCGTGAGGTTCAGGAACCAAGACACGACCACAGACGAACCCAAAGCTCTGCATAGTATATTTTTATAAGGACTTTCATTAAGGTGCTATAGAGGCTGAGAGGAATGGCATCTAATAACTCAGTCTGGGGACTGAGGTCATGAAGGCTTCTGGAAGGAGGGGATGAGCCTTAAGCTGGGTCTTAATGGATGAGTAGGAGATATCGAGATATCCAAACAACAAGTATTCCAATCAGAGTAAGAAGCATATGCAAAGAGATGGTAGGGGGTTAACCACGGAACTCTGGAGGAGTGAAATTTTATCCATTTAGCACTTAATAACATAAGTACATGTGATGGAAAAAAGACTAACTTGAGAGCAGGAATACCAGAGACTAATCATTTTTTTTAATGAACTTCTTCAATGCAATGAAGGCTAAAGTAGAAAATGTCATGCTTTATAGTTAGACTGTCCTGATTCATTCAAGCTGACCTTTACAAGTTGCTTAACTTTTCTGAATTAAACCTTGGTTCCTCATCTATAAAATGAGGATAATATTATCAAGTTCATACAGCTGTTGTGTTCTTATGAAATAAAAAAAAATGTAAACTATCTTGTTTCTCACACAATGTACTTACATTAAATGTCAAAATAAGACACCAGACTAAATGTCAGTTCATGTCCTGAAAACACTTGTGTCATTGTGAATAAGAGCCTTCATCACTCATGCCAACTCTGGTTTCCCATTGGGATATATTTATCTGTTTACTTCCTAAACCAGTGGTTTCAAAACTTTGCTTGCTGACACCATCATTTAAAATCATTTTGCGTACTCACCATTATCTTAATATTTACATATTTATAAATTATTGTGTAACCATATTACTGTGGCACAGTGTGGCACACTATAAAACATAAAACAAAACAGAAATTTAAAGGCTGTGATGAAAAATTAATAAAAAGAGAAGGTTTTGGCTACCACTGGGGTACGTAGAATCACTTTGAAGAATACCAAGATCTCCTAGAGAGAAAAGACCTAATGTCATTCATTTATGGAGCACCCAGAAGCACAGACCAAGTACTAAAGAAATATCTAGGAATTGAAGAAGCAACACCAGGACATTAGAAAAAACCCAAAAAAACTCTGTGGCGTACTAGTGCCACTATCTGTCCAAACCAGTTTTTTAGTTTTTATTTTTAATATATATTTTAATTACAGTACAAGTTTAATATAGTAGAAATGTTAAACAACCAAAACATAATGGCTTTCCCCCACAAAGATCAGTGGCAAATACAGAGTTAATATTCATTATTTTTGAAAGAGCTAATTGTAATAATAACCATTTCCTGAACACTTATAAGGGGCAGGCACTACATTAATGCCTTTACAAGTACTTATTTGCTCTTTACAATAATCTGGATGCCATACTGCACCTCTGTAGAGGGTATCAAACATTTTGGTCCATGCTGTGGCTGGGGGTCGGGGGTGTCTGCAAACCATGACCTGTGGGCAAATCTGTCCCACTATCCATTTTTATACAGTCTATAAGCTAAGAATGCTTTTCACATTTTCAGTTTGTTGAAAGAAAAATCAGAAAAGAAACTTTTATATGAAAATCACATGAAATTCAAATTTCATGAATTTCATGACCATAAATAGTTTTATTGAATCACAGCCACATCCATTTACGTATTTATGTATTGTCTATGGCTGCTTTCGCACTACAATGGCAGAGTTGACTATTTCAGTAAAGATTGTATGAACTATAAAACAAAAAAGGCTTGGTATCTGGCCCCTGACAAAACAAGTTTGCTGGCCCCTTGTGTATATAATTGGAGTCTACTGGACATGTGCACGTTGCAGCTTGCATGGCTATAAGTCATGGTTCCAATAACAATCCTATCTGGAAATGTAGGTTCAGAGAGGTTGTGACTTGTCCATGCACTTAGGAAATGGCAGAATCAGAGGTTTTTAGGATAATTTTTTAAGGCTGAAATATGCACTTGATTTCACCTAGAGTTCAGGACTGTTTTCTCTTATTGTCTTTTCTGGCTATGTACCTTAACTAGTCACATGTAATATAACTTCCCCTCTGGCTCTACTGTCTTCTCTGTACTCTCCTATCTAGCTTTTAATATATTTATTGCTAAGGACAGGGTAGGGTGGGGAACAGGTCAATGGAACAAAAGTACAATTCATTCATTCACAATACTTTTTATTCTACCTCTTCAGGTCTCTCAAGTACACACTTGGCCCCTGCGTATGAGGCTCTGCTGTCTCTGGCTGAGCTGAAAGTGATGAAAAGGACATGTGATGGAATGCTGGAAACCTCATTACTGGCTCTTTGCCTACAGAAACTCAGCCAGCTTATCTTCTCTCCCAAGGAACTTCAAACTTACACTGGCTCAGCTGGTTCTTTCTAGGTGCCTGTAACAAGCTGCTCTGCCCAGTGGAGATCAGAAGCCGATAGAAGATACTCTGCATATACTTTTCTGTCCTGGAGAATATGTTCTCTTTTTTCTCATTCTCATTGTAGCAGATTCTCCCAGGGTCTTGGCCACTCCTGGGTTGTAATTTGGATACCGAAAAGTGCAAGTTACAATAATTTTTTCCTGGATGGTATCCAGATGACCCAGACATGTGAACATAATTTCTCTGGCTGCCCAATTATAGCTATAACTTCACTTCTAAGCAAGGACAACTACACTGGCAGGACATGGACTATGTAAAGTTGTGAGAAGAGCTTTCATATATGTCAATCTCCTTTTGACTCCTCCCAGCAAACAGGAATTTGTTATTCCCATTTTATAGATTAAAGATGCTGGGACTCAAGAGGAACTAAGCAGTGTATATTTTGTATATATCCAGTAAGTGGCAGATCTGAGCTTCAAACCTGAAGCTTTCTGACACCTAAGTACCTGTCATTTCAGTAAAGGAGCCTGTTATAAAGACGTCAGTTTGTTGCCATAATAGTCATTAAAAGATAAGCAAACAAACACCCCTTCCCTGCCGCAAATCATGGCATGATTATTCTTTATAATTGGGATGCAGTATAGCATAATGGAGTTCAATGATGAGCAGGGCTTAAAGTTATAGGCAAATCATTTAAACAGCTTGATTCTCTGTAAATTTATCTGTAAAATGGAAGTAATAACATGCCTAACTTTTGGGATCATGGTAAAGGTTATATAAAAGAATGTAGGTCTTCTGTTTATATGAAATGCCTAGAATAGGCAAATCCATATGAATGGAAAATAGATTGATGGTGCCTAGAGCTGGAGGTAGGGGGTGGGAGGAAATGAGGAGCTGCTAATAGTTATGGGGTTTCTTTTGGAGATGATGAAAATGCTCTAAAATTGATTGTGGTGATGGTTGCACAACTCTGTGAATATACTAAAACCCACTGAATTGTATACTTTAAACAAGTGAATAATATGGTATATGAATTTTAAAATGATGTAGGTAAAGGGCTTAGCACAGTGCCTGGCACAAAATAAATGCTTTATAAATGTTAATTTTTGTCATTATTGTTTTGAGGAAGAGACTATCTGGTAAGCTAAACTCATTTCCTCTTCTCCCAGAGCACAAAACTAGACTCTACCCTAAAAATTAGGTGTGGCCATGTGTCTGAGGCCGGGCCAAGGGAATGTGAGTTCTGGCCAATGTAAGGGAACAAGCCTGGCCCATAAAAATATTCCTCTCACAAGCCTTCATGTTGTTTCCCTTCTACTAGCTTGATACAATGAATCATTTGGCTTCAGAGCTACATGTTGAAGATGAAGGAGTCATAGTGTGGAAAAGCTAAAGTTCCTGAATCACTGACCAGGGGAGAATTGCCCATTAGTCAAGAAGACCAGCTTAAAGCTTTCTGAGAAAGTAAATAAACTTCTAATTGTTTAAACCTTTATTTATTTTGAGTTTTGATTATAACAGGTACTGGTATTATTATAATTAACATGTTATTGTTAGTTTTTACAGTACCAAATTGAGGAGAAGTGTCAGCCCTTGTCAGATGCCTAAAATAAATTCACTGTAGATTGGCTGACCATGCTGGGTCTGGGGGCATAAGTCCACACAGGAAAAGTTGTCTGGTGAATTTGAGCATTATTTTAGTACTGTTGAATAGTCACTGGACAGTTTTGAGTGTAGTATGCAGCTTCTAATTACCTTCCCCAACTTTGGCGAAGCAGAGTCCTTGTTTTGCCCTCCAGTCCCTTCAGGAAGGGCCAAATGAACAGCAGATAACATGCGATCAAACCGTGCACAGTAGTAGGGTATGGAAATGGCGAAGGCAGCTCTGTGCCTGCTGCTCCACCCTTCACTCCTGCCCTCCTTTGTGGAGGACATCGTACCCTGTCCTCTTCCCTTTTGATAAAAGGGAAAGTAATAGAAATTAAAGATGTGACCCATCGCATTATTTTGTCCTTGCTTAGTGCTTTTTAAAGCAGTATCCTACACTCTAAATGTGGAAGGCAGAGACAGCTTTTAGCTCTCCGGGTGAATAATGCCAAAGTATTTGATTGCTATTGTCTCTCTTTCAGAGGGTTTGCTGTCAGAAGGAAAAGCTCTGAGTCATTCTTTAGAAAAGGTGAACAGAGGATATGCAACCACAAGCCAAAGGTGACAGATCGGAAAGGGACCAATCACTGGGAGCAGGGTTTCTCGGGTTTGTGAGCCCCTTCCTCGTGCAATTGTGTCAAACTGGGCCATAAACGCCTTCTGTATCTTTCTCACAGAGGAGTGCTGTAAAAACCAATGGGCATGTAAAGTGAAATACAGGCAGATCTTATAAAAATAGCTATTGATTCCTGAGTGTTTACTGTGAAACCTTCTTACATAGCTTGTTTAATCTTCTTGACAAGTTTAATACATAAGTATTATTATTGGCCCCACTTAAGAGCTATTGAAACTGAGGCTCAGAGGTTAAGCAAAGCAGTGTCCCCAGGTTGACACAGGTAGTAAACAACAGAGCTGGGACTCTAGGAATTGAGGGATGCCAAAAGACTACATTTCTCACCACCATGCCCTTCAAGGACTTCAAACAAACGAAAAGCATTAGCAAGGTAAATGGCTCTTCTGCTGGAGAATCTAGAATGTCCAAAGTCAAAATGCTTACCCTTGAATAGAAAGCACATCCTACAAGGCTGCCTGTGTTCAGCATATTAAATGCCCAAGAGAATAATGAAACCGAAAAGAAAAGGGAAGAACAAAGGCCATTGTCCCAGACCCTGGAGACTAGCCTGCCTGAACATGATTCATAGTCATTCATGGACTCAGACCTCACAGATTTTGAATATCAGATCATTGCAGATAGAAATGTGAACTTCCAGATAGCAACCATGTCTTCTTGCTGAAAATAGCTTCCCTTCCCCCAGCACAAAGTCATAAAGAAAGAAAAAAGA